TGAAATCATAGTAAGCGACTAAGCGAGTGTCCCGGGTTCGATCCCCGCTGGCTCCAATGAAATTGTTAATTGCAATTTTGACTGTGCCGATGAATTCTCTCAGCTTAATCCACTTGTCTTACGAAGAGACGTTAGTAAGTGGTATTATTGCTTCTCTGCCTAGGAGATCGTCTGGATAGTTCTCTCTTACCAACAGCCAAATATAGCAGTGATTTTGCAGTTTCGGTCTAAAGGATATAATATAGAGCTGTGAGAATAGAGACGGAATGTCTGTAGTTATGCTATGATAACTACAGGCATTCCATCTTACGTCCTCAGAGATGACAACGTATCTGTAGCCTTCTTTACTTAAAGTTAGTTGCATGAGCCCATGGGCAGCATTAGACACTTGCCATCACGTATATGTCGCGGCACGAAAGTCTACCGCTGAACGAAACGTGGAGGGGACGCGCACGAATTGAATTGCACTAATGCGACTGGAGAGCCAATCAGCACGTGCGAACGATACGCACGAGCCAATCAGCGCGACTTATGCGCAACGGTCACCGCTAGACTTTCGCGCTGCCATTTATACTGTTATTTCGGTTATCACTTTTTGAAGATGATATTAAATAGCATTAGTAGATACTGTAACAGAGTGTATTAACGCCAACTCTTATATTAAGTACAGTTTGGGAAGGTTTGAATTAAAATACTATATATTTTATTTTATAATAAAAAAATTAATGTATACATGTATAATTAAGGTAGGAAGGCTTAATGATTTAAGTAGTAGAGCCACGTTCTAGTTGCCTGCAGAACGCATGAATCGACTCGACAGGTGAATATCAACGTAAAATAGCAGTAGCAGCAACGTGCTGTAATGTGTATCGTATCGTAAATGCCGAGCCATGCCATTTTTCTGGTAACGAGGCATTCGAGCAGGAAGTCGATAGATGCAGGTCATCACAAGACCATGCTTTGTGATATTCTATTGGGGAGGCCTATTTTGAGCAGTGGACTTGTGTTTTAAACGATGACGATGTGACGATGGTAGTGATGAGGCATTTCATCTCAGTCCTGGGGTATCCTGTGGGTTAGATTGTATCGTCGCATTAGTATTTTGATTCTTAATCGATAATAGATATAAGTGTCTATGTGGTTCAGGTAATTTCTTATCATTTTTTTATTTTTAAAATAGGGTGACAAACAAGCACACAGTCCGCTTGATGGAAGGGGGATGCGGTGGTACATAGACATCTATTAAGAATCAAAATCGATATGCATTGCCACCCGTGAGGAGCAAGATGGAATGCCTCTTTTCCAGTAAAAAGGTTCTCCGGTTCTCTACACTCACCATACGAAACACAGCAGTGTTAAGCTGCTATTTTATGCTGCTATTCTATGAGCGCGTCGTCCTCCCCCGGTCGAGCCGACCCATACGTGCTACAACTATACTACTAATAGCTACAGCGTGGCTCTACCACGTATAAAAGTCATTAAATATATTTTATTACCATTAATTATTTAAAAAAACATTTTGTGTTTATTACTAAAACGCGGTTTTAATCACAAAGTCACCGACTCAAGAGTATTTGTACATCGAATAGGCATTGATCAAATTGCGACGAGTAAGCGTTCGCGTCCACTGTATAAAAATATTTGCTTGTATTGTGTTGGTACGAGGTTTGTAATGTCGTAAACTGAGGACATGATATTTTTATAGAAGAGGGGATAAATATGCCTACAACTCACTTGATCGTAAGTGACGATCACCAGCCATGAACTTGAGGAAATGCGTTTGTCAGTCTTTTTGAAAAGAATGTCATCAGGTGACCTGTAATTTCGTCTAAGTTGGATTTAAGGTTTCCCAGGATAGAGGTTTTTATTCGAACCAATGGTAATTAAACAAAGGAGTGACTTTCATCTATTATTTATAATGCTATGATAATATTGTTAGATGAAATTGCTTTTTATACGATAATAGCGCTAAAACACATCTGTCCAAACTAGGTAAGATCCAAAATAAAGCTCTTCGAATTATGGGGGGTTTAATCAAAAGTGGTGGATAGGTGTCTATGCATATTATGGAGAATGAGTTAGGCATTCAACCATTGTTCGTAAGAAGACAATATTTAGCATATAAATACTGTATCAAAAACATGTCTTGGGCGGATAATGCAACAATTACAATACTGAATGATCTTAGTTCTGTTATTAATAACAGATACTGGCACAATAAAAAAAAAAACATTACTTTTACTTGCATACGACGATTGTAAACTATGTAATATTCATAATTCTTATCCGTTAGAAATGTTTAAACTTAATATTTGGGTTTCCTATATAGATATAAATGAAACTATTTAAGTAAATTTATATTGTGTTCAAAAGAAGAAAAACAATCATGAAGCTATGTATCTTAGAACCAATGTATTAAAGGAATTAGATGAAAAATATGCTAACTGGCACCAAATCTTTACTGATGGATCGATCAACATCGAGATCATAATGGATAGAATTAAGAATTGTGACGCAGTGTACAATGATACTCGTAAATTTTGGCGGTTGGAATTTATCCTAACAATTTCTTGGAGCACTTCCTATATCCTTATATTCAGAAAGAATTCAGAATATTCATCACTTTTAAGAAAGACTTTTACTATTATTAAAGTATAGTATTCCACTAGATGATAGAAATCCTTTTCTGTCTGAAAGTCTCTTTGAGTACCAGCCTCTTACCTATTTCTGCCGCCTAGCAGTAGTGCGTGCACTGCTGTGTTAAGGTCTACAGGGTTGTCTGTCACTTCAATTTTGTATAAAAAAAGAAAGATATGCGGACTAGCGGAATAAAAAACAATTACAGCATAATTATGTGATAAAAAATTCACTAAAGTAGGCCGACATGAAATACTGAAATACATCGGTCTACTAAGCACACTCAGTTCACTTTGGACCGAAATTGGCCTTTCCTTTCTTGTGAGTGCGGAACTAAGCTTCAAGACGTTAGACGATATGTCATAATTCATAATACCAAATGTTGAACACGTAATACCACCAAAGTGCTTCTAAATGAAGAGTAGCTGAGAATTGTTGTGTCCACTGTTTTTCTCAAAATTACAGTTGAAGCGAAGCTTCACTAACTCCCACCCCTCTCCCCCCTATTTATTTAGACTGGCTAGCAAAGTTGGTTCTGCAGCATATGCTGAAAAATTAGAAGCCTTACTTGTGTTGAAGCAGGTAGATCAGCTTATTTTAGTTATTTCCATAGCATAATGTGAAACATATTGTACAATATATTATATTGTAAACTAGCGACCCATCCCGGCATCGCCTGGTTAGGTTGATATTTATTAATGTGGCGCTATTTAGATTTACGATAATCATGAAAGACCATTTAAATTATCAATTGTACATTTTATCAAATAAAAAACCAAATTTTCGATACTGGCTAAAGAATAAGCCTTTTAAATGAGAGACAAGAAAGATATTTTTTATAGGATAGGGTGATAAACGAGCACACAGTCCACCTGATGGTAAGTAGTTGCTGTGGCCCATAGACATCTACATATATCTTCAATAAAGAATCAAAATGCAGATGCGTTGTCACCCGTGAGGACTAAGATGGAATGCCTCGTTTCCAGTAAAAGGGTCTCCAGTTCTCTACACTCCGTCTCTCTGTCGATTCAGCGTTTCCGAATGCATGTATCGACATATTATGTCGGTGGCCAGAGTTCCGATAATTCGTAGACTACCCCGTAAAGTTTGCACTACATCGCAAAAGTCGGCACTTGGAGAAAAATTTGTCGTGTCATACTTACACGTGGTAGAGCCATGCTGCAGCTATATTAATAGTATAGTTGTAGTACGAATAGGTCGGCTCGACCGGGGAAGGACCATGTTCTCACAGAATACCAGCGTAAAATAGCAGCTTAATGCTGCTGTGTTTCGTATAGTCAGTGTAGAGAACCAGAGACCCATTTTACTGGAAAAGAGGCATTCTATCTTAGTCCTCACGGCTGACAACGCATCTGCATTTTAATTCGCAAACGAAGATAGATGTAGATGTCAATGGGCCACAGCAACCACTTACCATCAGGCGGACTGCGTGCTCGTTTGTCACCCTTATTCTATAAAAAAAAAACTTACTCCTCCATATTATAGGTCCACATCCAACAGTAGACTTTAACGGGATATTGAAAATGAAAAAGAAACATAACTTGCATATCAATTCAAACACTAAGTACCTACTACAAAAATAAATCTATACATATAAATAAAATTAAAGTATCTGTCTGTAATATCGAAATAACTTTTTTTTTACTGAGCCGAGGGGATTATTTGCATAAGTATGAAAAAAATAATGAAACTTTATGAACAGATAAAGAACAATATCATGAGTGATCTAGGCAATATTTCATCTAAGAACCTTGGATTTTTCTTTAATTGAAAAATTGGATGAGATGGAATAAATGGTTTTTGATGATTTTTTTAGTCTAAATAACGCCACATTAATAGATCTCACCCAGGCAAAGCCAGCACGAGTTGCTAGTATTACCTAGTCAGGTCATAAGTATTGTCACACAGTAAAAACTTTTCTTTTAGAATGCTGGCCACAAAAAAGTTTATTGAATTCGAATTTCGAATTGTTCATGAAAATAAAACTGTATACTTTTTAGAATTTTACTCATTTTTAAATATGGAGTAGACGCTTAAAGAAGACCGTGTTGCAGTTATTACGTTGCATGGTTGCGGTTACGTGCCAATTCAAATTTTTGACATACTGAAAAATTTTAATATAATCAAAAGATTCGTTTATCGTACCATCAAACGATACAATGAAGACTCTAGTGTAGATGACAGGTCAAGAAGTGATCGCCCTCGGTCTGTTAGGACTCCAGCAGTGATAAAAGCTGTGAAGGCGCGAATTCAAAGAAATTCCAAACGTAAGCAGAAACTGTTGGCCCTTCAGATGGGGTTAAGCAGAACCACGGTGAAAAGGGTGTTAAATGAAGACTTAGGGCTTCGGGCATATCGAAGAAAAACAGGACATCGTTTGAATGCTCGTCTAATGGATCTGAGACTGAAGAGATGCCGCGCTTTGTTGAAGCGGTACGCGGGAAAAAAATATCGGGAAATTCTTTTTTCGGATGAAAAAATTTTTTCCGTAGAAGAGAGCTACAACAAACAAAATGATAAGGTGTACGCACTCAGTAGTGAAGAAGCGAGCAACCGTACTCCGCGTGTCTAACGAGGTCATTTTCCATCCTCGCTCATGGTATGGTTGGGAGTTTCTTATTGGGACTTAACAGAGGTACATTTTTGTGAGAAAGGTGTAAAAACGAATGCAGTTGTGTATCAAAATACAGTCCTGACGAACCTTGTGGAACCTGTTTCTCATACCATGTTCAATAACAAGCACTGAGTATTCCAACAAGATTCGGCGCCAACTCATAGAGCGAAGAGCACACAAGACTGGCTGGCGGCGCGTGAAATCGACATCATCCGGCGCGAAGACTGGCCCTCCTCCAGTCCAGATTTGAATCCGTTAGATTACAAGATATGGCAACACTTGGAGGAAAAGGCGTGCTCAAAGCCTCATCCCAATTTGGAGTCACTCAAGACATCCTTGATTAAGGCAGCCGCCGATATTGACATGGACTTCGTTCGTGCTGCGATAGACGACTGGCCGTGCAGATTGAAGGCCTGTATTCAAAATCACGGAGGTCATTTTGAATAAACTTTAGTGTCATAAGAATCTATGTTTTGTTAATATCATTTTGGTATATAAATGGTTACATAATTAATAAACTTGTTTCAATTATTTTATATTAAACATGTGACAGAATTTATGACCTGACTAGGTATATAATTAGCAAATACGTAATGTATGGTAACGGTCCGCTCACAAATGTACATACATCCGTCTTGACGATTCGTTTATACGTTACGATTCGTTAATTCGTTCATATTTATTACCTGAATCGTGATTTTAATAGAATTATGAAAAAAGGGGCATAATCGACTGTTTAAAAAAAAAGAAAAGGCGAAAGATGCTTTGTAAGGACGGACCATCATTGTCAAAATCATCTGTGTTCTTTACGCTTCGTGAACATGTGAAGCCAAGCGCATCGTGAACAACTTACTTTTATATTAACTTATTTTTATTCATGAGCTACCAAAAAATTTAAATGAAACGTCAAACCTCGATGTGTGAAGGAAACATAGTATTTTAGAAGAGTACCATAAATATCTTCAATGACATGCCCACTCCAACTAGCACTTACGTACGTCGTACCTACCTAAAAAAATTCAATCAGTTTCAATCAAATTTTTTAGATTTAAATTGTATATTTGTGAGACAATGCCGCCACCTTGTATCATTTATTGCCAAATGTAAAAGTAAATCTTCGTTACTTATTTATTAAATTTGTTCCATTCACTTAAACTGTAATTTTCATGCGATATTTTGACAATGACCTAGTTTTCAGTTGACTATTACAGAATAAAATATCTCTAAACAAAACGCTCTGCGTTTCGCTAGTTGTACTCTAGTGCGTTAACTCTACATAGAATTTAAAACAATGATAAAAGAGTTAAATCATAAATGTTTTAGTTTCAATAAACGATGTTCTCAACAAGCGCAGTGGTTAAAACGAAAATTTAAAAACCCCGCCTGCCTAAAGAAAGATAAAAAAATTATATCCTATGTAACTTCCACAAGTAAGACGAATCTAACGATACCCCACATAATAAAATCCATCATGCTGTTAAATTTTTAGTGTACGTATATGTTAGTAAATAGACATACATTATGTACTACGTACGTACGACTATTTCGTACGTACGTACGAATTATATGTACTACGTACTAGAGAAGCTATTCAAAACAAAAATTGTGCGCTACTCTATGTCTTCGGGCATGCGAGGGAAATAGTAGAGTTGCGTATGCGCGAAGAGTTTAATTTAATATAAAATAAGATATTAATATCTTATTTTAATCTAAACTAATAAAATGTAATAATAATTATCTTTTGGATTGGATTTTTGGAAATTTTCAATTTACGCAATATTTAGTTTAGTGTACGGATTGCAGTACAGTTCAGTTCAACACAGTCAATGTTCGAAATGCGAAATCTAGTGCGTAGTACATATATATCGATGCATACACACTAGAAAATCATTACCCTACTTCTGGGCCAATCGGGTAAAAAGAAAATAAAGTAACAAAAAACGCACACTTGTGCTTCTTGCTAAAAGATATATCCATCGGTGCAATTTTTAATGATAAAAGTGGTAAATTTAAAATTTTTTACGAACGTCTTCAATATAAATATGATGTTGATTTTTTTTAAACCCCTCGACCCATTTCGATAAAAGTTAAATGAGACCACCTGGGAAGTATATATACCCTTTGAAACAAAAACAAGAATTTTCCAAATCGGTTCAGGCATCTGAGTAAGCGGTGAACACAAAAAAAGATTCTGACGAATTATCAATTCCTCCTCCTACCTACCTCCTCCTTTTTTGAAGTCGTTTGAAAATTAGTTTCATAGAAACAACTACCGAATATTGTTGGAGGTTACCAAGCGCACGATATATTTATTTTATTAATTAATTTATTTATTTATTTATTCTTCATACGAGTAGCATTTCTTACGAAAATGCAAAGGACGGACTTAATGCCTTGAGGTATTCTCTACGAGTCAATCCATGGAGTGGTGAGAATTTGAGGTAGGTGTAGCAATATATAATAACAAACAAAATAAAAATGATAATTAATTACGCAGAGGATAATTAAGCGTCTAATGGCAGAACAAGGACCATCTTTGAAAACAAAGCACATGTTTCAGTACAGTGTACTAAAATAAAGTGTCAATTAAAGAAAATCTTATTTTTATTATTGCTCCTTTCTTCGACTTTCTTGCTAATTTTGAATCTCTTAGGGGATATTTACAAAAAAATTAAATCAACCAATAAAATACAAAGTATTTTTATTCATAGTATTTACATCTACTTGAGGTAGAGTAGAGACAGCTCTACCACCAAGGATTTGGCCGTGTTCAAATTACAAACTCAAGCTTCAAGCAAGTTATATATAAGAGCAAGTTATATTTATTAAATTTATTAGTTTTATTATTTTGGGAAAATTAGAGGTTTATGTATTCTAAAATACGAACTATTATGTAAGGTTTATCATTTTATTAATAGTAACGCTTCTTAGTTCGTATTATATTTTATTAAAATTTCATTTGGAATTGGTGATGGATTCGATATTTGGAAGTCTAAATTTTAAAATATCTCCCCATTTTGAGGTCTGTAGATAGCATCTACTGTTTTTAAAAGGATTTATCCGTATGTGTGTCACGATCGTACGAATAAAAGTCTTTCCCTATACCTCGATCTCGAAACGAAATGATAGTATTATTGTCTCCGAACCAATTTTATCGTACGGTCAATTTTGTTATAATTAATATCTTCTAAAGCTTGCCTTGGTTAAAAATTGGTTCCGTAATCGTAACAATCAATATTTATACGTTTCAGCAAGTGTACTACAAATACGTTATTGATTTTTCATAAAGTTTAAAATTAACTATGATGTAGTAATTTACGCTACTTAAGATTTCTCGATTGATTCGTGATCCCAGTTTACCGACAAAATTAAAGATCAGTAAATTGACTCTCAGGTCCCGAATACAAACGCAATTTGGAATACAAGATTATATTTTGTTTTCTTAAAACGTTAGGACCACACTAGAATTTTCTCCAGTGTCGTGGAGGCACTTAACGGTGGTAGAGCCACGCAGCAGCTTTTGCTGTTGCACGTATGGGCCGGCTCGAGCCGGGTTGGTACCACAACCTCACAGAATACCGGCGTGAAGTGGAAGCTCTGTTTCCGCGTTTCGTCTGGTGAGTGCAGGTGACCGGAGGCCCAATTCTCCCCCCCCCCCCCATCAACATGGTAGCGGAATTACATCATAAACTACCCCAGGAGGGTACCAGTACCCCTGGAGAATCCCTCGCTGAGCATTCACGACCATGCTATTCCACTCCTGAGCGTGGGTGCTCAGGCTGCCCCGCGTATTCTGGGGGAGGGGGGGGGGGCAAAATTCCGCTCAACACAATAACTGCTCGGGGCAAACTGAGCAACAAGACCAAGGCGACCCCTGCCACGCTATCCGTGAATTTCTGCAACATCAGGGGACTTCACTCGAAACTAAACGCCGTCCACTACCATCTCGAGACGGCGAAGCCGGCCTTGCTCTTTCTGACCGAGACCCAGGTGTCCTCTCCGGCTGATACTTCGTATCTCTCTTGCCCGGGGTACAAATTGGAGCACTCCTTTGTGCCTCGGGCTGATGTTTGCGTGTATGTCAGAGAGGACATCTTTTCTCGACGCCTCGGCAGCCTTGAAGGTTCGGACCTGTCCATCCTTTGGCTACGCGTAGACAGCGACGACCATCCGCGCGTCTACGTGTGCCTCTATAGGTCCCATAGCGGTAATGCCGAAACAGACCGACTCATCGACCACGTCCAAATGGCTACAGATTCCTTGCTACAACAGGTCCCATCCGCAGAGATCGTGATCCTTGGCGATTTTAACGCCCACCACGCCGAATGGCTCGGTTCACGTTTAAACGATCATGTGGGGAGATTTGTTTCTGACTTTTCCTTGGCATATGGTCTGACACAACTGGTACATCGCCTACGCGGATTCCAGATGTTAAGGATCATACACCTTCCCTGTTGGACCTTCTGCTGACCTCTCATCCGGACGGATATCAGGTTTCCGTCGATGCCCCTCTTGGCTCTTCGGACCATTGTCTGATCCGGAGTGTGGTGCCACTCACGCTCCCCTCGCGGTTGCGTTCTGCAGGTTGCCGCCGTGTTTGGCATTACAGGTCGGCGGATTGGGACAGAATGCGGTCTTTCTTTGCTTCCTACCCATGGGGGCGCGTTTGCTTCTCGCCGGATGATCCCAGCGCTGTTGCTGACTCTGTCACTGATGTAGTGCTACAGGGAATGGACTATTTATTCCATAATCTGTGGTACCCATAGGAGGCAGATCTCAGCCTTGGTTTGGTCGCTCCTGTAAGACTGCTTTACGCAGTAAGCAGGAGTGTTATCAAGCCTGGGCTGCGGCTCCGGCGACTCGGGATGTAAACACCAGCATACTTAAAAAGAAGTATAACTTCGCCTCCAGGTCCTTCAAAAGACTTATTGCCAAGTCAAAGTCAGAGTACATAGGCAGAATTGGCGAGAAACTAGTTCGCCTTCCTTCGGGAACCCGTGCATTCTGGTCTCTCGCCAAGGCTGTCCAAGGGAATTTCTGTAAGCCATCACTACCATCTCTGCACAGGGAGGACGACTCACTGACCCATGACGCAAAAGAGAAAGCCTACCTTTTAGGCTCCCTTTCTGCGTCCAACTCGACTGTTGATGACGGGGGGAACACACCGCCGATCATCCCGCGGAGTGAGTGCTCCATGCCGGATGTGTGGTTCTCACAGCGCTCGGTTCGCAGAGCACTCCTCTCCCTTGACATCCACAAGTCGAGTGGGCTAGACGGAATCCCCCCAATTGTGCTGAGGACGTGTGCTCCGGAGTTGGCACCGGTTCTAACGCGTCTTTTCCGCTACTCCTACTCCCTAGGCGTAGTCCCGAAATCATGGAAGACAGCTTTTGTCCACCCGATCCCTAAAAAAAGCGACCGCTCAGACCCGTCCAACTACAGGCCTATCGCCATCACCCCATTGTTCTCCAGAATAATGGAATCCGTTATAAACTGACACCTCATGCGGTACCTTGAGGATCACCAGCTGATTAGTGACCGCCAGTACGGTTGTCGTCGGGGTCGATCATCTGGTGATCTTTTGGTCTACTTAACTCATAGATGGGCACAGGCAGTAGAGTCCAAGGGGGAGGCATTGGCCGTTATTTTGGACATTGCGAAGGCCTTCGTTCGGGTTTGGCATAAAGCGCTTCTTTTGAAGCTCCCTTCATATGGGCTTCCCGAGAAATTATGCAATTGGATTACCAGCTTTCTTGAAGATCGGAGCATCAAGATCGTTGTAGACGGTGCATGCTCCGACTACAAGCCTATTAACGCTGGTGTTCCACAAGGCTGCGTGCTATCGCCAACGCTGTTTCTTCTGCATATTAATGATATGTTGCAAGCCGGTAGCATTCATTGCTATGCGGATGACAGCACTGGTGATGCTCTATACACCGACCGTGCCAATATTTCTCGGGAAAACGTCACCGAGTACCGGAACAAACTTGTGTCTAAAGTCGAGTCTTTGCTGGACAAAGTCTCGGATTGGGGGCGACTAAATCTAGTCCAGTTTAATCCTCAGAAGACACAAGTTTGCGCGTTTACCGCTAAAAAGAACCCCTTTGTCGTATCTCCTCAGTTTCAAGGCACTCCCCTTCTTGCCTCAGCCAGTATCGGAATCCTCGGCGTCGACATATCGAGTGACGTGCAGTTTCGTGCTCACTTGGAAGAGAAGGCCAAATTGGCCTCTAAAAAGCTTGGCGTGCTCAGCAAAGCGGGACAGTGTTTCATGCCAGCTCAACGCCTGCAACTTTACAAGGCGCAGGTTCGGCCTCCCATGGAATACTATTCCCATCTCTGGGCTGGGGCTCCCCAGTGCCAGCTCCTTCCTCTTGACCGCATCCAGCGCAGAGCGGCTCGAATCGTCGACGACCGAGTCCTTTCCGATCGGCTCGACTCATTGGCACTGCGAAGAGATGTTGCATCTCTTTGCATTTTCTTTCGCATTTACCATGGGGAGTGCTCTGAGGAATTGTTCGGATTAATCCCAGCCGCCAAATTTCACGAACGCACATCGCGGCAGAACTCCCGATACAATCCACACCATCTGCATTATTGGCGGTCCACCACTGTGCGATTTAGAAGATGTTTTCTTCCTCGCACAACTTCCTTGTGGAATAGTTTACCACCAGCGATTTTTCAGGACCGATACGACTTAGGGACCTTCAAGAAAAGAGCCTACTCCTTTTTAAAAGGCCGGCAACGCATCTGCAATTCCCCTGGTGTTGCGGTTGTTCATGGGCGGCGGTAGTCACTTACCATCAGGTGAGCCGCAAGCTCGTTTGTCCCCTCTCCCATAAAAAAAGGCAGTTTAGAAACATAAATTTCACGAGGACAAACATCCACATCCGGAACAAATATTTGTAGGCAATACAAATACTTGTTCCGTGCGGGATGTAAAACAATTGTTTGTTTTTTTATTAACCGGGAAGGTAAGCTGAAAATGCTTGCGTTAGGAGTGGTTCACGACAGTAGTCAAATGACGGATGAGCCTACGACTTTTGAGTTTGCGGTCCGCAGTCCGCACCCTACTATATAAAAAGGCTACTAATAAAAAAAAAGTTAATGCATTGTAATTGTATTATTACATTATTCAAGGGGGAGAGCCGCGGCTAGATCAGTGTAATAATAGAATGAGTTCATACATTCATTCAGTATAATAATTCTTTAGCTCAAGTAACGCTGGCACCACTGAAATTGTTAATGGTAATTTTTGCTGTTTATTTACCACGTGCTCGACGATTAACAAAACCTTTTTGAGAAAACCAATTAAAACACATTCGAGAACATACTAAGTATGTCATCATGTGTTAGAACAACTTCTTTCTAACCCTAATATCCTTTCAGAAATGACAGAAAACCTGTGACATGCTGTGGGATGGATACAGACTTTACTTAGGGGTTTTATTTTATTTATTGAACTTAACTAACAATCCAGCTAATGGTGGGTGGCTACTGCACTCCATGGACCCTTGCAATCAACTTCATACAAAGAAGACTACAGATTCATTCTCACTTCTGAGGGCTAAGGTGTAATGCTTCAGCCTGTAATTATTCTTGCTCCCTAAACTTCTAGACACTTCAGGTCGGAACAGTTTAGAAAGATGGATGCTGTTGTCCATGGACATCGACATTTATATTTGATTTTGAATCAAAATGCAAATGCGTCGTCAGCCGTGAGGACTACGATGGAATGCCTTGTTTCCAGTAAAAAGGGTCTCCGGTCACCGAGGCATTTCATATTAATCCTCAGGGACAATGACAATAGTGGTTATATTCCTCTATGCTCAGGGATGACTACGTATTTGTAAATGCTAATAATAACAATGCCCTCCAGACTGAATTTCGGTAACAGCGGCAAGTCAAAACGTATACTAACCAACGGCACAGGACAGGATTATAGTACCAGAGTGTAATGCGCTAACACAGGTGCACTCTCTATTCCCTCGCTCTCATGGTACGATGGGACGGTAATCCGAAACGGCGGGAAAGAGACCAACGACTTTACGTGTTTTCCGAGGCACGGGGGTGAAACACCGCCAACTTCCTGACTGCGGTCTGCTACTGAAACTGAACTGAACCCAGAAACTGATTTTGGGCCGACTCGAGACTCGAACCCGGGACCTTATGATCGAATCGCGGTTACGAATACTAGACCAACGAGGCAGGCATAATAGTTGCATTTCTGTTCTTTATAGAGGGAGGATAGATATAGGTAAAGACTGTAGATACTTGTTTGCCACTCTTATTTTTATTAAAGGTAGAATTCCTCATTGCCTGTACTTATTTTGTTTCTTGGTGCCCTACAAACCCAGCAGTGAAACACAGCAGTGCGGGCACTGCTTGGGTAGTTCTCACTTCTCACCGTCCAGAACATCGATCGACCCCAAGCTAGGCTTTATAACCGGGTTCCACACTCCTCTGTTCGGATGGTGGTTAGAAATCACAAACCCAATACAGGTAATCTGACAATTGGTCAGAAACCAAATAATTATCATCATCATCATAATTATCCATTTCCTTCTATACAGGCCTTGAGCCCAGAATCAAATGAAACTGTAAAAGCCTAACAGAAAATAGAGACAGAGAATAGTTAATGAAAGTGAGCGTTATCGAGGCGATCTACTAGGTAAAACACAGAAAAAGACCCCTTAAAAAAGACCCCTTAAAATTCATAAATTTTGCCTGGGACTGAACTGCTGTTCTTTGACTTCCGATTTTTTTGTTACATAAATACTTCCTACGTTAATATTATAATGTTACACGAGCACGTTGCTAATTACATATAGGTGATTGATCGTATGATAAATGCATCTCAAGGCTGAAAACGCCTAAATTGAAAGATTTCCAAATTGTAATTATACTGATTAATACTGATAAGATAGCGATTGTCGGCATGCGCGAAACGTACTGCCTTCTGCGAACTATTTTGTTTGCAACCATACGACGAAACAGACGAGACGACCGTTCGTTTCACTGAGTAGTCCGTTTTTTTTTTAGTTTCGGTCTGACACGCGTTTGGTGTGGACGTTGATCGGTGCGCGCCCTCTATCTGACATTGGGCTGAAACTCGTAAAAACAATTCTCGATCTAATGTGCATTTAGACAAATAAAGACCAAGTTGATGAGATAAAATGTGGAAAACACAGTGTTTGCTGTTATATATAACGCTCTCAATCGGTTGCGTTTATTCGTGGGGTATGTATTGCAAAAATTCATGAGATACGATTATTAGACACGTGCAAATTTTCTTAAACAGTTACGCAACATTTGTAGGTTATACTTATATCTTTAATTAATATATAACTGATATTTATTGAAGCACACAAACAGTTATTGTCCTTATGATATCTTGTAGTGAAAAGTCAATAAGACTGTAAATCGTTTGGCGCCACGACACCATTGCTAGGGAGCTGCGAGTCACGTAGGCCACTTCGAGCGGTTTGGATATAACCCTACTAAAATTGCAATGTCGTGTAACGGTATCACAAAAACAAACATAAAATGGCTATCAAGATTTAGCCGCATCTGTCCTGAAACGGGAAAGCTTTATGCAGCACTTACTTTTCAGTAAGCTTCCTTTATAAATATGTATACCTAACTTATTTTTTATTATGTATAAGACTGAAGTTTAAAATGAGTTAAATATATTTTTGTTTTGTGCACTCTTAGGCAAATAAATTATATAACCATTGTATGCGTATTAGTAATTATAATTATTTAAAAAAAATGTCTTTTATAAATAAATAAAAGCACTTTTCTGACAAGACGACACAGTATGTGGTTAATATTTGAGAATACCTAACACTTTTACGAAATACCTACAACAAAAAATTGAGAAGAATGAATGAGGGTTGTTTTTATATGTACAGTTAGAGCGAAATGTACAGTGCCATAATTTATTTGTCATAATATTTTATGACAAATACATGTCACGAGTAAACAAACAAGTTTTAAGTTCTCAGCAATATAAACAACCATTTGAAGGCTGGGTTACCTCTGAATATAAGCCTTTCAATTACTTCGGCGAAACGGTGGAGTAAATTTAAAAAAAAAAAAGAAGGTAGCAATTTACCTTCTTTTTTGGTTATTTGCATACTAGATAAGAGAATATTTACATACTCACTAGACACTTTTCCGGGTCAATAAATTTGCACTCGCAAACTTCAAAATAAGGAGGTTCTCATTTCAACTGTATTTTTTATGTGTGACCTCAGAACATTTTTCTATGTAAACCGATTTTGATGATTCTTTTTTTATTTGAATTTTTTACATTGTGTGTAACCTTTTAGCTATTTTTTAACAATGTAAATAATAAATTTAAAATACTATCTATTGAAGTCGGTTGTACAAAATTTTTAATTTTACCTCTTGTTGAGATGGTCTTTCCACCAGCACCAGTCTCGTCCGTCGATCAGCAGGGTTAGGGTGGATGCCCCTAATACCAGCCATGCCCCTAATTCCAGCCTTTTCGCCTTTTTACTTCGTAAATAAGATTTCTATTAGTTTTAACTACAAATATTGTCGCCTAATAAATTCTTCGCAACTAGAGGAAAGTATATTTCAAATATTACCTCACAGTTTTAAACCTAACAGTGTTAAATTAAAAATCAAAACACGTACGCGACGAAAAACGCTCATTTAATTTTTTGACAAGTTATGATCCCGGTAAAATTATGCTTACTTTACATTATCTTATATATAGGCTTTTTGATTTGTATGAATATGACTATAGACATAGTAATGCAGTTATTTTTGTTAAAATTTACAAGTTATTTATTTTCTTTTAGTGGAAATTAATGGGGCTGTAATTAGATATACGAAATGTATGGAGTGCATAATGTCAGCCCCCCGGCTGTTATTTCATTTGACGTACCTAATAAGAAGTACCTATTAAGTTCAGCCACGTAATATAAATCAGGGCTGTCATAAACTGGAATAAATAACATTAATTAGATCATAACTTATTTTATAGTTAAGGGAGTTATGATCAATTCCTCTGTTTTAAAATTGGTTTTAGATTTTAAAGTTTAGCAAAGGATGTAGGTATTTACTAGCTTTTCTATCTGACATTCGTCGTATATTAAGGACACCTTATGTATTCAATTATTTTTTTGAGAAAGAAGAAAAAACAATCAATAAATATAGTATATATAAGCAAAAACTATAACTTAGTAATACTAATTATTACAACTTAGAACATAAATGAAAAACCCAACATTACTTGTCATTGTGTGTTTAGGACCAGGCTTTTCGGCAGTTTATGGAGGAGGATGTTCCGTAGTGGACTTGTGTAATGTTGTAATGACGATGATGATTTGAAAACTTTGATGATTAAATTATTAGAAATCGATATACTTGATAATATTTTATCATAATTTGCTTTAATTTATTGAACAGCTTTAACCTAAAACACAGTAAGTTAAGTAGTAAAACATTAAAATAAAATAATGTCGTCTGCCTTAATATAATACATATCCCATGCTTGTCACATACAGATTCAAAATTAAAAGTTGTTACGTATTTATTACTGTACCTCTAAAAGTTACCTGCAATAGGTACTTACCAAAAACTCAAAAGGCACAATCCTATGCTATGTTGGCATTAAGTACACAAAAGGACGACATTCGGTACAGGGTGGCTGAAATTTGAGCCAAAACGCCTTTTTTTGCTTATCGTCGTTTTTAAAATTGTTCTTGAAATAATATGATTGTAAATAAATGTTCATTATATTTTTAGATAAATAACCTATCGAATAAAACAAATGTTTAAAAATATTGAGCCCTAATTAAAATAGCAGGAATTTTTAAAGTTGAAATTAGCACTAAAAGGCTGGTAATACGGGCTAAATCCACCTACACTGCATGCAGGTGCGATTGCTTTTGGATTTGGAAAAAATTAGACTCAGAAATTTTAAATAAGTATCTTATAATCTATTTTTATGATCAGTGTTAAAATTTGTAGCTATTAAATATTGAACAACTCTACTCAGTTTTTAGTGCGTCAGTCAGACGTAGTCAAATTGTCTTTCTCTGACGATGATAGAAAACTATGAAATTTAATGGAAATGACATAGGTCAACGTTAAAACACCTGCTATTCACGTGAATTTATTTTCAAATATTTTATAGTTTTCTATTATCGTTACCGTAAAGTCCACAGCTAAACATAGGCCTCCTACATAGATTGCCTCATATGGGGGATATTTGCCATAGTTACCACGCTTGGCAAGCGGTTTTTTATAATTTGCTTTGTGCTGATTTGTTTCCCTCTGTCGCCTCTTACGACACCCACGGGTAGTGGATATTCTTACACCGCCACTACACGATAAGTTTTCCATCAGCTTAAACGACTGTAGAATGTCAATTTGGCAAATATTTACAGTCAAACGTTGGGCAAGTTTATTTCGGTATGTAGTAGAGTAGTCCCTGGAGACGGTAAAATGTAATAAAGCCGTTACCGAAAAAAAAAATAGCAAAAAAAAAATTAAGTCTTCAAGAACGGAGAATAAAAATGAAGCAGATATGAATTAGCGAAGACCAGCAACGTTAAATACATGAGAACTCGCGAGGTCAAACCACAAAAAAAATCGGCCAAGTGCAAGTTGGACTCGCTCATTAAGGGTTCTGTACCATCGTACAAAATTAAATACTATTTAGGTACTTTTATAATCCACTATTACGCCGTTAAAGGCAAAAAAAAAATTCCAAAAAACACGTCTCCTGTTATGTAACTCTATAAATCTTCCTAAATTCTCAAAATAAACATTTGCGTAAATATTGTTAAATCAGAATATTTTAAACATACAGATAAACAATCATAAATTATGTACAATTAGTTGAACCTCAGTGCTTATCTACGAAACTAGATAGGAAGTTTGAAACAAGGTTTTAATGTTTAGGCTATTATTTATAACTAAAATGAGAGTATTTTTAGTAGATAGGTACAAATAGGTACAAAAAATAAATATTGATATTTTATAAGTAAATTTAAAATCAAATATCGACGCAATAGAGCTTCTCTCAGGAGTAAGTGGAATTCGGCTGGAAAAATAAAACAAAAAATATGTGTAGGTCAACATCATTTTAATTATATCCGAATTGAATCGATGATGAGAGATAAATTTTAGTGCACTTCAAAAACAGAGGTTTACCATACGATTGTATGTTTTTTTTTTATATGTATTTATCGCGATATCTTTGTAAATTTTGATGATTCTTTTTTTATTAAATAGGTTTATGTCCATGGTCTCATACAAATTTAGAGACTAAATTCTTTTCCTAAAGGTGACAAAATAGGGGATGAAGTTATTATTGTAGCTATTTAAGCGATATTGATATTGTGATATTTCTTGGTACACTCAAAAGGGTGAAAAAAGTAAAAGTCGACTTCGAAGAACTAAATAATAAGTAAAAAATCACCACCCGAAGTCGGTGTTTAAATTATTCTATACAATATGGCTTAGCACCAACTTTAGAATGTGAAATTAGTTAATTCTTTTTAACCAACTGCAAAAAAGAAGGGGTACTCAATTCGACTGTATTTTCTACGTGTGTTACCTCAGAGCTTTTTTCTGGGTAAACCGACTTGGATGACCTCTTTTTGTTATTTGAACCTAGTGCTTCTCATGAGAAGCACTAGCTTCACTAGCTTTCTCTTTTAGATTTTTCTTTTTTACCTATGTGGTCTCATATGAATTTTATCAAGATCTGAACAGTAGTTTTTGAGTTATCCTTCATAATGCCATCTGGATGATTGGCGGTCCACCACTGTGCGATTTAGAAGATGTTTTCTTCCTCGCACAACTTCCTTGTGGAATAGTTTACCGATACGACTTAGGGACCTTCAAGAAAAGAGTCTACTCCTTTTTAAAAGGCCGGCAACGCATCTGCAATTCCCCTGGTTCCCCTGGTATTGCGGTTGTTCATGGGCGGCGGTAGTCACTTACCATCAGGTGAGCCGCATGCTCGTTTGAACCCTCTCCAATAATAAAAAAAAAATTAATTGACCTCGACTACATTGATGATGTTCTTTTTTATTTATATTGAAGTCGGTTGTACAAAATTTTTAATTTTATCACTTGTTAGTTCTTTGAAGTCGACTTTTTAGGATTCTTTTTTTGATTTTATCGGTAGAATCCAAAATCGCAAAGTTGTAACACTGTAATATTGACCATAGTCGGTCACTAATATCTATTGT